CACACAGCCCTGTGGTACGCCTCAGGGAACAGCATGTCATTTAGCACCGACAGCAGAATGAAACCTGAACGCTGCTGTCTGGATTTGCTCCATCTGGTTGATCTGAACCTGCGGGTTTGATTCCGGCTCCTGGCTGAAGAGTCGTCAGGCTGGACGCTGAGCCCGTGAAACGGTGTGAAGTGGCTTTGAGTCGCTGCATGAGGAGAGCTGAGTGATATTAGTTGGTTCGTCGTTCTCCAGCGGTTTTCTGATTAAAAGCGAGCAGCAGCAGCTTCCTCTGGGCTCCTCCTTATCAAACTGCATTACGTCCAGATTCAGCCTTCAGAGCAGCAGTCGTGATGGGATGGATCAGCACCAAACAGGATCATCACTTTGCCTTAAATCCTGCTGACTGGGACTTTAAGCAGGAATTAGTTTCAGTTTGTTTCTGTACAAACAACAAAGCGGCAGTTTTAATTTCTTGAGGTGTCCTCCAGTCGTTCCTCTCTAAGCTGCTAAAGTCTCCTTCCTGCAGGGGAAGCAGAACGCTGTGACTCGTTTTAAACCTGGATTTACCTGAAATCGGCTCCGACTCGTCCTGGACTTCATTTCTCCTTCTGTGAACCTTTAAGTCTCTAATTGTCTTCAGTTCGTCCTGCTGAGTCGATTATTCACCTTCATGGCTGCTTTCCTTTCATTCCTCCTCCTTAAAGCAGTCCTTCTCCTCCTCTGGGTTTTGTTTTTTCTGCGTTGCCGTGTATCAGACGTTGATGAGTCAGAGCCGTAATGACCTGTAATTGCTGGTCGGTTTCAGCCTCCTGTCGGCCGACTCGCCGCTGTTTGTAAAGAAAAACGTTCCTCATGGTTTAAAGGTTTAAATCCGTGGGATGGTGACCGCCCAGCAGGCAGAAGTGCTGATGATTACAAGCTTCCTGAACACATTTTATTTCCTCCAAACATGCAGTGAAACCATCGAGTAAAGAGTTACAACGTCTGACGCCGCTTCAGAAACCAGCAGCTGAGTTATCACTTCCTGTCTGGTTTATCAGGCCGACATGGAGGAACTTCCACCGCTGCTTCAGGCCAGTCTGAGCTCTGCACTTTGACTAGGCCATTGTATCTGTTGTATTGTTGTTATAGACATCAGTCTCATTCAGGTGGATTAAAGACAAAATGTGCAGCAAAAACACATGAATGATGCAAACTCCATAAAACACAAACATAAAAAATGAATACAAACAGAAAATGTTGCAACTGCAGGACATGGAAGCAAAAAGAAAAATAATTTCCTTAGAAAATAATGGTCCAATCAGTTGTGATTGCACCATTTGGTATGTTTTGTTTGTGTCATGTGTAGGTTTCAGTGCCTCTCGGGTGTGATGCTCATGCTTCTCTGATGCTGGAAAACTTTTATCCTCTCATTAGTGGCGCGTCTTTGACGTCCAGCCTGGAAGGGCTAAGATGCGTTCACTGACCAGAGGAAAATGAGACTTCTGAGTCACGGTTGGGTCAAAACCAGCTGGATTCCAGCTTCTTTCTGTCTGCGTGCCTCTCTCCAGTTATTTTACTGTAAATGTAGTTATTTTACGCGGCTCCTCTGTTGGAGACGCGTTCTGGTCTCTGCGGCGTTTTTCTCAGAAAGCAGAGAGAATCAGCAGCTTGTGGGTTTATTATTGGCGCTGAGAGGTGAGAGCCGCTGTGGACAAACCTCCAATTGATCCTGCAGCAGTTGGCCTTTGCCAGCTCATATTATGCTGCTCTTAATTTAGTGCAGAAAGTTCTCCTTAGTGCCAGCGAGCTACTCTTGATCAAAGTCATTAGTCACTTGATTTGGACTCTTTGCTGCTGAATAATTGAGGCGGTGTGAGGATAAAGGATTTGACTGTGCCGGCTCACTAGTTAGAGGAAGTGAGCAGAAACTCTGAGTCTTAGAGAGAAAGACGGGAGGAGGGAAACGGCGGACAGGAGGAAGTAAATTAGGGAAAGATTGAAAAGGAGGAGAGTGTTGATGTGATGAATGCGTTGTCTGCTCTGTCCACCACAGCCCTGATGAAACATTTAGCGCTGGAATATCTGTGAAAGTGCCACCCATGACTCCAGAAAAAAGCCATCGCCTCCATTTATCCTCCCGCTGGTCGCAACGTTTCCCGGGTTTTCCTCCTAACAAATGGCCGTTCACTCAGAGTCCCTCCGCTCAGCCTATCATCATACATCAAACACAGAAGTGCCTTTCTCAGATAAAACACAATAATATGTTTTTTCCGTCCCATTAGCTTCCCATCAGGTTCTGGAATATTTCCACGATTCATCACCTTACTGTACGACTTCTGTAAAGTAAATATTGGGAGCAGCTTGGAGGAAAGGCTTCTCCTGAAAAGCATCCCATCACCAAACTGAGAGCAGAAAAACGCGAGTGTTTTATGAATGAAGCTGCCACTTCCTGCCTCCGCCCCTCAGATCTCGGATAAGAAACATGTTTCTCATCTTTCTTCTCCTCGATTCGTCTCCTCTCTACAAATCTGAGGAGTCTGTTCGCTGCGGCGTTCGTCTGTGAAGCCGATAAGAGTCTAAATCTGCGTCTGTCCTCATGTCTGAGAGCCAGAGAGTGAGTGAAGATCTGATGCAGATCCTCCGGAGCTGCATGTCGAACAGTTTGTTTCCACTCGGCTCTGCTTCAGCTTCGGCCAGCAGAATAAACCTCCTGTTGCTTCCAGCTTAATCTAAAATAACCTGCTGCTGCTCATCTGAGGAAGAGGAGGAATTTCCACCCAGGATGAAGGAACAATCAGAGATTTGGAGCAGGCGGTTCCTCCTCAGCAGCAGAGGTCACATTTAATTCTCCCAGATGATTCCTTCAGTCTGCAGCTAATTCAAACCTGAATGCTAAACACGGAGACGTTTGTCCTCTTTAACATCGGAGGGAATGTGGAGCGAATGCTCAAGCAGGTCCAGACAGCTGTCATCATGTTGGACATGAAACGAATTTTACTCATTTCACGAGGCAGACCAGGCTGATCTGGGTTTTCAGATTCAGAAAGAAAACTTTGAATTTATTTAGAGTTTTGTTCCACTTTTTGAGGATTTTTGCAACACATCTGATGAAATGAGCCATTCTGAAGGGATCGTTATAGATCACTGATAAAGCCACTAAGATAAAAAAATCACCCTATGGGTGACTGTAAAGTCACCCATAGGGCCATAAAGGTCACTAATGTAGCATTTAATTCACTCATAGGGCATTTAAAGTCAACAATGTGGCTACTAAAGTAATGAATTTGGCCCCTAACATTTTGGCTAAGGTCACATATTAAGGTCATTAAGGTCACTAATATGGCTCCAAGGTCACATAGGCCCATTAAGGTTTAATATGACCCTGAAAGTCCTTCATAGGGCCGTTTAGATCTGGCCCCCAAAGGCCACATGGGGCTGCCAAGGTCACTGGGGGTCACTGGTCCTGCTCTGCTCAGCTCAGTGTTTGGGTTTTTGTCGCTTGACCATCTGAACTTTGCTAACAGTGCCATCTGGACCTGTTACTGTAATTCTTCTGACTTAATTTTGTTCTGATATTTGTCATCGTGATCAGAACCTCAGACGGTTCTGGATCAGAGGAGAAACTTCTCAGTGGCGGAGCCAACAGGTGACATCTGGACATTTTCCAGAAGGACCTCAGCGGAGAAGCCGTCAGACATACATGGAAATATTTCTGCTGTTTATGATGCAAACATCCATAAACAACCAATTAGCAGAGATGCATTTAAGTGAGCAGCTCCCACCTCCCCGTTCCATTTTAATCTCCTTCATGACATGAAAACAATTTGTCTCCCACTGAAATCATCAGCTGTAATAATTAACCAAATTCCTTTATGAAATATTAATTGAGAGCAAGGAAATGTGTGTAGAAGATTTAAACGGAGCTCAGCTTGATTAGAAGCTGAGCTAAAAACCTCACAGTGTGAAGATTTGTCACAAACCTGCAGAAAACCAACATCACAACTTCACTGTGTTTTCATTTAACTGCCAACGTTAAGATTTACACAGAGAACAAACCTGTTTTTAGACCAAACTGCCAAAATATTATCAAAACTCAGATTATTTATAATTCTCAAACTATAAACATTGAACTTTCTGTTACAAATAAACTAAATCAAAGATAAAGAATCAACAGTTTTCTTAATATCCTGCTGCATTTTGATTTTCCAAAATGTAAATAATATTTACTTTCTGAACTAAAACATTTACAATTAAAATTCTCCATCTGTTTTGCAGTGATCTTTTCTCTCCCAGTTTTTACCTCTTCCCGCCTCTCTTCAGGCTGTGAGAGCGACTTCTGGGGCCCCCACTGCACCAACCGCTGCCAGTGCCGCAACGGGGCCAAATGCAACCCGATAACGGGGGCCTGCGTCTGCACCGACGGCTTCCAGGGCTGGCGCTGCGAGGAGCACTGCCACCACAACCTCTACGGCAAAGACTGCATGCAGGAGTGCCAGTGCCTCAACGGCGCCACCTGCCACCACCAGAGCGGGGAGTGCCTCTGCGCGCCTGGCTACACTGGCAGCTTGTGAGTGGCTCCACCAGAACAAAACGCACAATAAGTCACCAAATAAATACGTCTGTTAGCTTGTAAATCACTGAAATACGTTAAAGACCTGCTGCTGCTGCTGATGGATCAGTTCTCCACTCAGGTTTTCTGGTTCCGGTCAGTCAGGGAGGATTCAGCTTCTATGCACCACAAATCTGGAACAAACTCCCAGAAAACTGCAAAACAGTCGAAACACCAACTGCATTTCAGTCACCATAACGACCGAACTGGAATCACAAAAATAAATATACTTAATGGAAACACAGCAATTTAAAATAAACTCTGTTTTTGTTTGATAAGAAGTTTTTTGTGCTCATCTTGGGTTTGAGTTTGCAGATGGATCAAAATATAGACAGGAGCTGGGAGCATGGGTCGTGCTGAATCTTCTTTAAAGATTAAACTAAAAATCACAGGGAGTTCAGGGAGCCAGAGGAGAACAAAAAACACCAGAAAAGCACAAAGAGCAAATAAAAAAAAATAAACAAACTAGAATCAGCATAAGAAGAACAGAACAAAGGTAAAACAGAAACAAGGCTGACTTAATCAAAAAAAGCAACGATGAAACAGAATAATAATGAAACTGGAAACAATCAAAACATCAAAACAACTCAGAATAACCCAGGATGTGACGTCGTTAAGATGTTTTTTTTCTGTATCAGAATTACCTTGTGTTACCAAACTGCAATGGAATCTGCAGTTTGCAGTCATGTGATCAGCCGCTGGATGTTACTACTGCCAGAAATGACAAAGAAGACAACAGGAAGTAGTTGGAGGATGATGGCGTTGTGTTTTTTTAATGGATTATTGCACAAACAAACTTATTCATGTATTTTAATAGCATTTTTTTTATCTAATGGAAAAACATCAAATGCATTTTTTTTACATTAGTGGAATATTGACAAAGTTTTAGCGTATTAGTAATGGAAACGCAGCGACTGAGTTCCTTTAAATCTAAGCTAAAAACCCACAGCTGCCTTTGATTAACAATAACTGGAACATGGATCAATATGTTTGATGATAAAATGTAATGTTTGTTGCTGGTTTCACAGTTGGTGACTTGTAAGATGTAAAACACTTTTTGAAATGTTCCATAAAAATAGACTTTGATTAAAAATTACTGCAGAATTGAGAAGAAAGTGAATCTGGAAGATTTTTTTCTAGATTTTTAACAATTTTTTTGCCACATTGAGACATTAATTTGTGTCTTCAATCAACTTTTCCCCAGGAATACAATATATGATGAAGATATGGGAAGGAATTTATGCTAATTTTCAGATCGTAACTCAGTGAGGTTCAGTAGGGGGAAGGTTTTCTCCTGCTGTCTTTTGCTGCTGAAATATGCAAATAAAGATTTCTGTGTGAGCGGATGAAGTCAGCATCTTTCCCCGCCTGTGTTGCTGCAGATGAAGATGTTTCTGTTTGTCTCCTGCAGCTGTGAGGAGCCCTGTCCTCCAGGTCAACACGGCTCCATGTGCGAACAGCGCTGCTCCTGTCAGAACGGAGGAACCTGCCATCACGTCACCGGGGAGTGTCACTGCCCGCCCGGCTGGATGGTATGGCCCCGCACGCCGCCGCCCCGCTGCAGACCATCAGAAACATTCTCACTGCACCAGACAGAGGAAATCAGAGCAACACGAAACAGTATGGAACACCTTTAGTGTCACAGTACAACTAAAACACCATCCGTTCTGTAGACCTGGGCTAAGATTACCAGCAGTGTTTTATTTACCAGAATGTAAACATGCAGCAGCAGAGAAGAAGAAGCTCAGTCCTACAGCAGAAAGTGCCTGACCTGAACCAGCATGGCTGCTTCAACGGCCGGAGGAGAACTCTGCTTCCCTCCAGAAACAAGATGGTGGATAGCAGGAGTTAGCTTACCAGAACTGCATCTGGATGCTTTGCAACCATGTGCCAAGCACGGTGGTGGAGGTATGATGGTTTGGGAACCTGGAAGCCTTGCAGTCACGGATTGGACCAGGATCTCCTCAAAGTTTTCTAGAGTCAGATGTGGATCCATCTGTCCAACAGCTGAAGCTCGATCCGTTTAACAATGACTTACACAGAAACAAGTCATTTAAGCTGCCAAATCATTAGTGACTTTGGTGAAATATCACCGGTCAGCAGAGGTTTGACTCAAATTATGAATACATCCAGTACATATAAAATACTTTATTTTACAATAAATGTGCACAGAGTAGAACATGTGAACCAGCCTTGCTGATATGTGAGTGAACATGTGAGTTTGTTCTGACCCGCTCCTGCCTCCCTCCTCAGGGTCCGGTGTGCGCCCAGCCGTGCCCCTTCGGCTGGTTCGGCATCAACTGCTCCGAGGAGTGCACGTGTCGGAACGGAGGCCTGTGTGACCACATCAGCGGCGTCTGTCAGTGCACCGCCGGCTACATCGGAGAGAGGTGAGCTAACCCCTCTCCAGCGCCGCTCAGCGCCACTGGCATCACAAAAACATCACATTTTTACCTGCGCCACAAAATAGGAGCATCCAAAATGCAGTGGTGGGTCTGCCAACTAAAGAGATAGATGCTAATGCTAAACCGCTACACCATCATGGTACTTAGGGGAAGCTAATGCTAAACACTAACTTCATCTCTGCTTGAAACACTGCAGCCCTTAAGCAACAATTTAACTTTGACACAATAATTACATGTTCTGTTTTACCCTCAGCTATTGGATTTGTTTATATCTTTTTCTCTGCTGTCTGTGTTTAATTTAGCTCATTTATGAATTTATTCATTTTAGAATTTGTCTAAATTAAGGGAAGTTAAGTTTGCTAAACATTTTCAAAGTTAGCTAGACTGCTAAAGGGAAATTAGCCCTGCTATTAGTGTGTTAGCGGATTAGCGGATGCCCCCCTGCTGCCAGTACATATTTTTTCACCACTGCCTCTTTGTTACATAAAGTAGGAAGAAGACGTGTAAATCAGTGTCGATGCGAAGCTTAACGAGGGGTGTATCCATTTGCCTTATTAAAAAAGAAAAGGTAATCCATTTTGTAAATTCTTCTAGATTGAATTTTTTGTCTCAGCAATAAAAGCTGGAACTGGTTCAGTCTTTTCTTCACTGAAGCCATTTTAGCAGAATTTGGTTCACCAAAGTCTGCTTTGGAGTGGAAGTCAGATATGAGTGACTTTGTTTGGGATGAAATGTCTGTAATAATTAAAAATAAAACGTCTCCATCTGCATCAGGACGTAGGAAGTCGGCCTGGGGGCTATAAATGGCCCCCGCCCCCCAGCTTGGACACCCCAGCTTTAACCCTTCCATCCTGTGGCCTCCATCTCCCCCCCTCCACCCGTCATTATTCTCATTCAAGCCAAATTACCTCCATCCATCCAGGCTCAGACAGCTGAATTAGCCTACATGGAATAATTCCCAGACTGCTTCTCTTCCTCTCGTCCGCGTTCTAATGGAATTAGCCCAGATAAGAGTCGGCGTGATTTAAACGTGACGCCCAACAGAAGTCCTCACTGCGCTGCTTTAATTGAGTGATTTGTCTGTTTCTTAATGGTTTCTGCTGCTGGACGTGTGAGGAATGCAGCAGGCCGGACTCGGCTGCCTCCATCAGCCGCTCAGAAACTCTGCCGCCTTTGGGGCCGAGGGTTTAACGCCGAGCCTGCCGACCTCCTGAGAGGCCGCCGCCGCCGCCGCCGCCGCCGCCGCGCTGGTTTTATTGCTCAACAGCAGCCTCATTAATCTGTCTCTGGATAATAAATGAATGTTTGAAGGACGATTTTTACATTTAAAACCCACTCCTAACATTTATTGTTAGACCTGTTCAAATATTCAGATTTTTATCTTTTTTTCTTTTTTGGTGTAAAATTAGATTTTCAGTGTTTATTCATGTTTCTGCACTAAAAAGCTTCATTCAGTTACAAACTCAATTTAAAGAATCATTTAGTAACCATAAGTGGGATTTAACTGTCATTGTTGAGGCTGATGTCTGCTGCTGTAGCAGTCTGTATGACAAAATCTGCAAGCGCTTCTGACTGAAGACACTCTCTCTCATGTTCATAATGTTTTTCATATATGAACCACAGAACAGAACCAGCTTCCTGTTATTAGCTAGTTTAGCTTTTTAAGGCGGCATCATTCCCTCCAGCTCTGTTCAGTCCACCTTAATCCAACTCCAGTCCATCTGCCTAGTCAAAGTCCGGTCCGGTTGGTGTGAATGCTAAATGACCTCTGACCTCTGGTCCTCCAAACCTCGGTCTGGGTTTGGTTGAAGTGAACTCTGGTTTGGTTTGAACGCCAGTCGAACCAGAGACCGCACCAAAAGCAGGAATTGGACTACAGCGCAAGGCATTCTGGGTAAATACAACCAAAGCTGCTAGCCTAGCGCTAGCAGCAGAAATGGCTCCTGGTCTTCAGCCAAAGACTAAAGAGAAATCCTCCAACCGCTAAAATCTGACGCCTCCATCTTGTTTCCATCTGGTGAAGAAGGAAGTTGCTCTCAGTGTCTTCAGAGGTTTTTGTGTCGTTTCTTTCAGTGGTTCTTGGTGCAGCGCCCCCACAGGCCAGGAGGGGAACAGGTTGGTTGGACTCAGAACCACAGCAGCTGGAGGTGGAGGAGCAGATGATGGAGTTCTGGTTCCAGTGGAACCGGGACCATCAGGAGGAAGCAACCTGAGTCCCTGGTTCTGATGCTGCCACTGCAGGAGTTGTTGATGAGACTCTGAACTCCTCAGCTTCTCTGGTCCGCCTGACGACTGCTGAGTCATCCGAGTCTTTCTGTGGTGATTGGAGTCTGACCTGCGCTGGAGGTCCGAGTCCCGTCCCTGAGGCGCTCCTGTCCCTACAACCAAACCATCAACGGAGGTTCTTCAGTTTAAGTCCTAAAGGTTTATCAGGACCTCTGGAGGAAAGCAGGAGGATTTCTCCAGTTTATTCCGACTCTTGAATTACATGTTGAATTAAAATATTAACTGATTATCTGCCGTCATGTTCCTCTGGCAGGTGCTTCCATTATTTTCAGGGCCTCGTTAATATCACTGAGTGCAGGCTAATAAACACAACAAAAGGTGTTCCCGGCAGCGCAGACTGCTTCCTCCTCGCTGATCCTGCAGCTGGATTTACGCCGCTCGGCAACTCTTCCAATAAAAGCCTTCATAAAGGAGGATTTACGGCGCCGCCCGCCTTGTCGACCGCATTCATTTAATAACGCCGTGTCTAAGAAAGCTCCCAACGAGGCATCTGCAAGTCAAACGCGCTGCTGTCGGTGACGGGCTGCAGGAGAACCTGAAACTGAAACATTTGGAGGCAAACAGCTGCTTTCATTTCCAGAAAACAAATCAACAATAATCTGATTCATCAGGCATAAACTGGACCTCCACTGGTTCTGGCTGGTTTCTGTGTTTAACCATCAAAAGGGATGGAGAAATGGTTCTGTTAGGATTTCAGTGTTTTGTTTAATTTATTTTTTATATTTCTCATATTATTTTATTTCTTTTTCATATTTGAGTTTTAATTCATGTATTTTCTTATTACGGCTGTATTTTGTTCATTTTTTAAGTATTTTACATATTTTTCTGTCTTTTTTATTGTATTTTCTTTTTTTCTCATTTCATTTCATTCTTTTCAACATTTGAATTTTTTATATTTAGGTTGTATTTTTTTCTTTTATAATGATGTATGTTGGTTTTTATTTCTTATCTGATATTTTTTAAGCATTTTATTTCTTTTAATTTTTATTTTTGCTTGTTTTTATGTCTTCTTTTCATTAATTGGATATTACGTTTCTTATTTTGGTTGTATTTTGTTTTCTTTTTTTAGCATTGGATTAATTAACATAAATGAATTTAATAAAACCGAGATGTAAAAAGTGTAAACAAATATTGCAAACCTGATTATTTAAGACGAAAAAGTTTTAAATTGGATTAAAAGTGAAACCTGCTGTGAAACCGGCCAGTCACAGTGTTTTCTGGTAACCATGGCAGCAGGATGATGATGTAACTTCCTGTTCCTGTCCAGGTGCCAGGAGGAATGTCCGGTGGGAACGTACGGCCCGCAGTGCGCCCATAAGTGCGACTGCCTGAACCGGGCCCGGTGCTACCACATCAACGGGGCGTGTCTCTGCAGCGAGGGCTTCAAGGGCCCCAGCTGCCAGGACCGCTTCTGCCCCGCCGGCCTCTACGGGCTGCTCTGCGACAAGATCTGCCCCTGCAAGGGCAACAACACGCTCAGGTGGGGCAAACAACACATTGCGCTCAGCGTGCTCCACAGTGAATAAACGTCCTGTGTGGTTTTACTGAACGCACCAGCTGAGACTGGGATGTCCACAGTGAGGTCCGCGGGCCTTTTGCGGCCCTCAGAGAGATCCTGTGCGGCCCTCGTCCACAATTCAAGAAAAGCAGAACTTTATTTCATTGGCTGCTGCTGGAGAAGCGCTAAAACAAGTTAAAGTGAAATGAGGCAAATTGAAATATCTGAAAAATGAAAACTTAAGTAACAACACAAACTATTCATCTTGTATCTATCTCTGTTTGTCTCTTAGTTTTTCTTATCACTGACAAAGCACCCGACTGGTTTTGCTTTCATTTTAATTTGATCGCACATTTCGTGGCTGAAGCCATCAGTTAAATAATCCTCGACTAACTTAGTCGGAGCACACGCTCAAAAAAAGCCACTCAAAGCAGTAATTGAGCCCAACTGTACAAAAATATACAGATTTTATTGCATTGTAGGCACAAAATTATTCATTTTCTTATTTAAAAAGGTATATTTGCATATTTCAATGTTTTTCTAATATTGTGTTAAAAAGATTAAGAAATCTGTTGCATGTGATTAATTAATTAATCACCAGAAAATCAATAACTAAAATAATTGTTAGTTGCATCCAGTAACTTTTACTCGACAGATTAAACTTTGCTGAATAAGTTTTAAAAACAAACGGAGCGACTCGTGTTTCTTTAGCTTCGCTAAGGAGTTTAGCTAAAACATCTACAATTATTTACTGATTATTTCTGCTAGTTTCATCAAAATATCCCTATTTAATTTGTTTTCAGCCTGTTCCTTTTTGGTAAATTATGGGTTTGTTTATCGTTACTTTTTTTGTTTCCTGGGTTTAATGTTGACAATTTACCAAAATAAAATGAACTGAACTGGAATAATTTTGATATCTTCACAACAAAAGATACAAACTTTTTGTTTGTTTCTGTTTTTGTCCCATGGATAATTTTAGCTTCACAGTTGTCGCCCGTAATGTGAAAACTTTGTACCGCCCTGGTCTAAGAGCCTCTTCCCCTCCAGCTGCCACCCGCTGTCGGGGGAGTGCACCTGCGCCGCCGGATGGGCGGGGCTTTACTGCAACGAGACCTGCCCCGCTGGTTACTATGGCGACGGCTGCAAGGAGCCGTGCAGCTGCGCCAACGGAGCCGACTGCGACGGCGTGAGCGGAGCCTGCGTCTGCGCGCCGGGGTTCATCGTGAGTGAACAAACACGACACGGTTCAAAATGGCTGCCCTGCAGGAGGGAAGCGAATGTTACAAATAAAACCAGAGAGCGGTAAAAACAAATACATCAGTCCTGGATTTTACGTCCATCATCTGCTGAGGGTTTCAGGGCAATATGTCAGAAATATTCACAGGCTTTTAATTTCATCAAACTTCAGTGGGTCTCATGTGACAGAGCAGCATGAATGAGTCCAGGACGACTCATCGTCTTCATCATTTCTTTTACAGGAACACTGTTATGTGTTTTAATTTAGTTTTTTAATTACAGTATTAAGTTAAACTGAAGATGAATGAGCTTTAAAATCAAGTTTCCATACCTTGTATCTTGTCCTTAAATCAACTTGATGAAATTTCTGAGTTAAAACCAAAATTATTTTCGAGTTGACGTTACTTTTCCAGTTAAATCACGTTGCCATGTTTTACAGTGTAACTCCTCTCCAGGCCTCTGTGCTTCTCGTCGTCTCGGTCCAGTAAACTGTCAGAACCTGATCTGTGACTTTCTAGAAGATTGAAACTGAATATTTTTAAAGAAATATTCACATCACAAAGCATTTTTAAGGCGGAAATTGAATTTTTTATCTTCATGTCGTGCCACATTGATTTACTTTCACTCAGTAGAAAGAGTCTTAGTTTTAGATTTATTTTGATCCAGATCATTTAAAGTAAACCGTACAGTTCCTGAGGTTTATGGAAGATTAAAACATCTTGTGATTTGTTTGATCTTGAAAGCTGTAAAACCAGAAAAGCTTCATTTGTTTTATTTTCTGCTTATTTAGACATTCAGAAAAGCTTTTATTGCTTACCCATAATGCAACAGATCAACTTTTAACTCTGTGTAATTTACCAATTTCTGCTCTTAACTTCAGCCGTCATTAGTTGATGAGGCGATAAATAATGAGGGGAGGAAAAGTTTTCTTTCTTCTCTGTGGAAGCGGCCGTCTTTGATGCGCTGCTGTTGACTCGATCCGGCCTAATGAACGGCTGTCAGACGCTCCGCGTCTCACCGGATTGCATCAGCTGCTGGTCCATCGCAGCAAACAGCTGCAACAAATCAAAGGGATTTCCTCAGAAACACAGGAGCTGCGTCTCTGCTGTGAAGACTGGAGCGCTGCTTCCTGACCGATGCGTCTGCATGCAGGTGCAGGGAAAACGTGCAGCTGGCGGACCTGCAGACTCAGCAGGCCTGGGAGCTGCAGGTGTGCAGCTGGGATGTAGGTCAGAGTAACGAGGGGAACAAAAAACCAACCTGGAAGCTTTCAGAAAACATGATCAGCTTTAAATCTCCTTCAGAGGACAGAAAATATGGATTTTTATTTAAAATATTGAAATTATTTTTATTTATTTAGTTTCATCTGTTTCTGTTCTGCTAAGAAGCGCCGCTCCCTTTTTTCAGTTGGAGAGCAGGTGTGACAGTAAATGATCGTCTGCTGTCGCTGCGCTCTCATTCAGGAGGAGACGTTGCCGTGAAGTTATCGACTCGATGCGATCAGCCGGGTTTCCTGAAAATGTTTCCACTGGAGCCGAAACTCTGCTAATTAATTACAGATATTTTAAAATCATCGGATCAGATGGTCCAGAAACTCAAACCGCGATCAAATCCAGACTTTTTTTTACCTTCAGTCCAAATCAACTAAATCTGTTTAGAGCCATAAAATGAACGTGATAGTTTGTGTTTATGATGCCAAAGTCTATGAATTAGTTTAGATTTTTAATGAAAGAATAAAACTTTGGATTTGTTTTTAGCTCTGCAAACTGAACTGCGACTTTACTGCACAGTGGAACGTAATATTCTTACATTCAATTTGTTCTGGATGTAAAAACATTTTAAATATAAATATATTCTATTTGCCTTCAATGAATTGACTTTGAGGAATTGATTAAATAGATTTTAATGTTTAAACATTTTAACGCAATTAATCACATTTAATTAAGAAAAAGAAGTTTCTTGCTGGAACCTTTCAAGTCGTGCGTTTCTGGTTCGCCCTTAAATCTGACGCACAGCTACATCCGCTAACACAGAAGCTGCAGGTTAATTTCTGCTTCTAACGATCTGATTGATCCCTGGAAAACACTGAGCAGTTAGCATAGCTTAAAATAGCACCTCAGTGCTAAACATGTAGCAGCTAATGCTAATGCTAGCATCCAGGTTTCTAAAGAAGCTGACCGGATAGAATAACGCTTTGCTCCGATCTGATGGTTGAAGAACAGACTAAAAATAATAAGTATTTTTGTTGTTGATGCTTCAAACCCATTCAGAGCCTCATCACTCACTTCTCCTTTCATGTACAAAACATTTTCAAACATTTGGAAACAGTGATTATGTGTAAACATGGATGAGTTTATGGTTGTTTCTTATTTATGTGTTTTAACACCAAGAGGGAAATTATTTACACACAAATGAACATTTTCTTTACTTATTAATGTTCATTCTGACATGTTGTCCCATTTTTAAAAATAAAACCATGAATCATTTTCAGTTAAACTATTTTTATGTTATTTTGCATAAAATCCTAATAAAACACTGAAGTTTATTCATATTATCTGTTGGCTGAATCACCTTGAGCTTTTCAGTTTGCGTTTCTGGCGTTCAGTGAAAAGCTGTGAAGTGATTGCAGGGTTAGTTTTGAGTGTGTGTGGCCCTGCGGGGCCCCGTGGCCCTGCGGGGCCCCGGCCGCCTGCGGCGCTGCCCGGTCCGGCCGGACAGAGGCCGCCGCAGCTTTTCTAATTGGGCCGACAACATCAGAGATTTCAGCAGATGAAAGCAGGACGGCGCCGCAGATGAATGTGTGTTTGGTTTATCAGAGTTATTGATTCTCAGAGAATTGATGGAGCGCTGGAAGCCGCCGCTGTGGATGAGGAACCGGCTTTAAACAGGATTTATTTGGAGTATTGTCACCAGTTCGGACGGTCGGGTCGATACCTGTAAACATGGCCGCCTCTGACCTGAGGTCCAATCTCCGTTCCTCCATCAGCAGACGCCTTGTTAGCTCCCTCAGTCGGCCTCTGAAGTGCAGCAAAGCTTCGTCTAAATGTCTCCGCCTTTAACGAATCGCAGAACTTTGATCCCTCAGGAAGGTCGGCTTCTCTAACCTTTGCTTGAATTTAATTTGACGATTGATTCGTTTTTAAGTGGAAATAAATATTTTCAGCATTTATTTGCCAGGAGTTTAAAGTCAGAGAAAAAACACAAAATTTAATTAAAACTGACAAGATTTACATCCTGTTCTTGCTTTTTTTGTTTTGTTTGTTTTACATATTACTAAAAAAAAGAAAAAAACACTGATTTCCCTACCAACATGTTTCAGTCCTGGTGCTGATCCGAGTTATTTAGGATGGAACAAGAAGCTGAAGTTGAGGCTGATTCTACATTAGAGTAGATTTAATAAAATTAAACAATAAGAAACTTTATTGTTTTTGTGTCTAAACAAGTATGGGAGTCAACAAAGGTCTAAAATTTCATTTTCTGTTAAAGTGTCTTATTCAGGGCAGTTTCTGGAAATGCTACGCTAACATTAGCATGATTACACAAATTCATACTAATTCAAGAAAAATTAAAACTAAAAGAATCAACTCATGTTACCAGAATAAAGACATAACATTAGCAGAATGAAGCAGTAAAAAATACATTTAAAATGAGAAACGTTGAGCATTTTGTGAAGTTATTCTTTGGTACCAGTTTGAAAAGTAAGGAAATATTTAATCTTTTAACACGTTGAACATTAACTCCCATTAAAACGACTTTTTTCTTGTAATTTTATGACTTTCTTCTGGTAAAAGTGTTTTTGTTCTGCTAATATTTTGACTTTATTCTTGTACTTCCTTATAAGACAAATTCCTGTCAGCCTGGCCCTGACGCTCCGTCGTTCGTCTGTTTAATTTAGTGATATTTTCCTCAGATTTTCAGCCGAACTGACGGACATCCTCATTAACCTGCCGCACCTTTCAGAAACATCCTGCAGCCTCTGCAGGTGCACATCCATCAGCGAGACACAATAAGCTGCAGCCAGACGAGCTGGACGCGTTTTCACTTCTGCTGCTCTTTAATTAAAAGATAAACAGCGTTAAAATATTAACTTATTTATTACCCAGAAGTCTGTGGGTTTAATTTGTTTCCTGGTGAAACAGTGAAAAGTCCTGATTAGATGATAAATATCAGGATCTATTGATCCGCCTGTAATTATTGCAGCGGAGGTCACCTGTCGTCCCTTGATGGCTTTAATTATTGAGCCCATGCAGGTTATTTATAACCAAAGTTTTTATAAAGTCCTTAATTCACCAACTTTTTAATAAGTCCTCTCCTGCGCGCCGGCCGGCTTTGTGAATATTAGATTAATAGTAATTTAAAGGCAGCAGGTTGGAAGCGGGCAGCTTTAATTAACAGAGTTTATGCGATGAAGGTGCTGATCAATGCAGCAGCGGGCCGGAATGAGGCCGATGCTGCGGCCGCATGATGCCGCTCTGCAGGGCGCCGTCGGCCGCCATCGGCTCCTCCTCGCTGCTTATCAGCCAGCAAACGAAATGCTCCCGGAGCCTGGATGGGTTTTAACGGAGAGACGATGCTGGAGGAAACGCCTCACCATCTAAAACTGTCCAAACTGCTTTTACATGGAGGCCACGAAACCTTTAGTGCTTTTTAAATTATAAATGCAAAGACTTGTATATTTTTATGTTTCCCTAAATAAACAACAAACTAAACACAATATTTTACTGATCAAAATAGATTTGAAACAGAAAACGTTCTTTTTCCAGATTTAAAAAAAGACAGCAAGCCAAATCCTAACATGTAGAAAAAGGTTGATGATTTTTCTAGATATTTTTGTGTCTTTTTAGCAACAACAGCAGGATTTTTCTCACTCAGCCAGTGGAACTTTGACCAACATCTCTGAGGTTTGGTTGATGATTTTAATGATTCGTTTGACAAAACGTAAACTTTATTTCCTAATTATTGATGTTTCATGATGCGCCTTGTTGCTGGAATGTTTTGAACTAATAAACTTGTTTCTGTGGTTGTCAGGGAGACGACTGCTCCATCAGCTGCCCTCCGGGTCTGCACGGCGCCAACTGCTCCGCCGCATGCTCCTGCCGCAACCGGGCCTCCTGCTGGCATGTGGACGGCGCCTGCATCTGCAGAGAAGGTTGGGCTCCGGTTCCCTCCAGGTTCTGGTTCTGAGTCCAGACGGCACCAGGCTGGGCTCCGGTTCCCTCCAGGTTCTGGTTCAGACGTCACCAGGCTGGGCTCCGGTTCCCTCCAGGTTCTGGTTCTGAGTCCAAACGGCCGGGTTCTTCACGCCAACATGTTTCTGTAATAATAATGCGGCATCCTGCACCAAGTTCCAGCTCTAATGTTGTCCAGAACTTTTCATTAAGTTCTGTGTTTTTGTCTTTTAATATCTGGCTGTTTAAATATTAACGTGGCTCAGATTCTGCGAGGGGAACAAAGGTAATTAAAGGGGTTCTGGTTCTGGCCTGCTTTTGGTCCAGTTACGTCTCACTGCAGAAGCTTTGCAGAAAACAGAGACATTAGAGGAAAACATCAGTGATCAGAAACAGCTTAATAAATGAATGAATAATGAATGAATGTAGATTCTGATGCTGAATGTAAACAAAGAGAGAAAATCTGGTCGAGTTACAAACCGACACCAGAACCAACCGTTGGCTCAGACTGAGATAACTTGCTGGTCACATCTGTGGATGAACTTTGACCCCGCTCTGCTCTGCTGAAATGATTTCAATTAAACACACTGGAGGGTCATGCTTTGACTAGGCCACAAGTCAGAAATAACCAGGATTTGTTGCACTAAAGCGTCAGATTTCACTTCTTTCTAGTTTAGTTTTTGGATTAAACACAAAGAGTCTTTAACCCTACATGGGCCCTCTATGGGCAAACCCATATGGGACCCATATTGTCTGCCCTCCTTTTCCCCATATGGGGCCCACCTGGGTATACTGGCTGGGATAATCTGTCCAAATATTTTTCTAAAACATCTTCAAGGACTTCTGGCCGAGTCTGTAGACAGACTCATAAAAAAATCAAATGATGTATTTGTTTAGCAAATTTGATTTGTTTTAATAATTTTTTTTACTTAGAGTGAAAAACATAATTTTAATTCATCACACCTGAATTCTTCCAAATGAACTTCGACTGTTTATAATATTTGTCCTGTTTTAGATTCTTTTTTGCTGATCTTGCTGTTTTCTCTGGCGTTAAATTCAGGATAAATCAGATTTTCTCCCATTTTTCCGGCTTGTTGCTCCCAGTTTCTTCCATGGTCTCACTCAGGAATATTCTCAGGAGTAACTGATTGTTTTTGGAGTGACTATTAAGGTTGATGTTGCTGCTGCTGAGCAGCGGTCAGGTACCCGTTCCCTGACGGGCGCCGCTGTCTCCACCCTGCAGGCTGGCAGGGCGTGGACTGCTCCATCCCCTGCTCCAGCGGCTCCTGGGGCTCCGGCTGCAACCAGACGTGTCAATGCGCCAACGAGGCGGCCTGCGACCCCGTCAACGGCTCCTGCACCTGCTCAGCGGGCTGGAGGGGCGAATACTGCGACGTCCTCTGTCCCGTAAGTCTGAACATCCTTCTCATGTGATGAGCTGACAGCCATCTTGGTAGGTAGCTGTTGTTAGGGAGTTGCTATGACAACAATAGACAAGCTACAGGCTGATCCTGACAGCAACGATTTTGTTGATCTTTCTCTTTCACATCAGCCAGGAGCATTAATGTACATTCCTTACCTGTTCTGGAAGCTGTGGTTCATCCGTGCTGGTGCTGCGTTTGCCTACCAAGATGGCGGTTCAGCGGCGCGGTTCACTTCCGGTTCACTTCCAGTTCAGACCTGTTGAAACTCTTTATGTTTGAATTTTAAAGATTTAAAAACCTGAAGCGTTTGAGTCTGAATGAATGAGCCTGAGCAGGTTCTGGTTGGTTCTGGACCTTTTTCATCGTGTCGTCCTGGTTCTGCTCGCAGGACGGGTCTTACGGGTTGGACTGCAGGGAGAGATGCGACTGTCTCCACGCCGATGGCTGCGACCCGCTGACAGGAACCTGCCGCTGCCTCGCAGGCTGGACCGGTGAGTTCTGGCAGGAAGTCGGACTTTTAGCAAATGATTTGATTGAAATTTAACTGTTTAAAAATCTGTTTCTCATATTTAGCTAGCATTAGCGCCCAGTCACATTTAGCCGGCACGTAGACAAAACTAAACAAACCAATTACGCTTTGTGTTTGCTCTCAGATTTTCATTCAGGACGTTTTGATGAACAATAAACCATTAACAATAAAAGTCATGATAAACACGTGATCAGTATCAATAATATTACATCTGATAGAATATCCAATATATTCTATATCCAGAATCCACTGAACTCTGAGCCAGAACCGCACAGCATTCTGGGAGATGTAGGCAGAGGGAAAGCTTTCGCTGCTCCACCACTCATTACCAGCTAAGCTAGGTTGGTGGCATCAACTCACTCACTCTTTGGTTGCCTAGCAACAACGTGTTGCGTAACTGGCGTAAATCAGCTGGTTTTGTTTTTAAGCAGTTAAAACAAAATGGAATGAAACTCTGGATAAAACAGGAAAAACTGCAATTTGTTAATGTTTCAGATATTTAAAACAAAAAACGAATCAATTATCATCTAAATCGACTGATATGAAACAGTCCAGCCCTCGTTTTGACACAAAAGAACATAAAAAAAGATTAAACATCAACGTCAATAATAAAGTGAGGGAGAAAATAAAAAGTCAAATCCTTCTAGTGAAACATTTATTTAAAAAAAAAACTCAAAACAGAAAAACCTGCAGCCTGTCTGTCATTTTCCTTCTTTCCTTCAAACTGTGGCTTTTATTCCGGTGCGCTCAATAAAAACAAAAAGTTCTGCATTTTTAAAATGAATCTTTTTTATGAACGCAGACATGTTTGCTTCTTCCTCTCTGGTCCTCCCTGTGTCAGTCGCTGTGATTAGATCAGTTAGATCAGATTATGAAAGCGATGCTCTGTGATAATAAACAATAAGCAGCTCTTCTGATGACCGGAGTCGGATCTGCCAAACATTTTGCTCGCCAGACGCTGCAGAATCTGGAGGAAATGAATGATTTCATCGGATAATTGTCTCACCATTTATTTTCTCGGATAATGTTTTTCTTGCTGATGTGGAGGAAAATTCATCCCAGCAGGGAGAGAAGCGTTAGAGAGAGAGAGGAGACAACAGATCGATGAGACACACGAACATTCAGAACCAATAATTCAAAACCTGATGGAGATTCAGGTTCAGTAACGGCCGAGTTACCGGCAATAACTTCACAAACGTTTCAGCCGCGGAGAAACTGAGAGCTGCTGCAGGGGAGCCAATCAGGAAAGAAGACATTAAACTGTTCAGGTCAAAGTTCACACCTGATGTATGACGAACCGCCGAAGATAAACACAGGAGGAAAGATTCAGATGGGCAGACTTTATTTCCATGTCATCAGATTTTAAGTGACAGAACATGTGGAAGAATCAATCAATCAATCAATCAATCAATCAATCAGTCAGTCAGTCATTTCAGCAGTAAGGCAGGTCAAAGTGCTTTACATAAAAAAACCACAAAAATTAAAAAGTCATAAAAACATCCATGACATCCGTCCCTGTAGTGATTCACGGTGGTGGCAGCATCATGCTGTGGGAAGCTGCTCAGAGTTGATGGATGAGGGTAAATCCTGCAGAATCAGATATTTTTATGTTTAAAACATGTTAAAACTCTAACAGATAAAAATACATTAACACATAAAACGCATTAAAACTTTTGCACAATCAGACCCTGATGTGAGGAGAATCCTTCGGTTCGTTTCTGTACTTCACAGGAAAAATGCTAATGCTAGCTTTCTGTTGCTTCTCCATCTTAAAACATCAATAAATTCTGGATCTGTAATTAATTCATTTCCTTTTAATCAAAAACCGTCAGAAACATTTTCATTTAAAAACCTTTTTGCTGCTAAATTATCGTTTTTAATTTGTTCTTCAGGTAATTAAACCATCTGATTGGTTTTTCTATCAATAAATCCTTTTTTACAAATGTGAATTTGGACGCTAGCATTAGTGATAGCATTTGTGCGGCTGCTACCTGTTAGCATTGAAATGCTATTATGGGTTAGCATAGTTTCACTGATAGGCTAACTCTAACTGCTTTTAGCACAACAAACAATATTAATTTCAGCGTCCAATCAGATCGCTCAGAAGCAGGAATGAACACCCAGCTTCATCATCTGTTAGCGGATGTAGCTGTGCGTCAGATTAACGGCTGTACCAAAAACACACAAATACATAGGTTCCAGTTTTCATAGAAATAATATATTTTATTTAAAATATCTTTTTATTCAGAACAAAGAGGGACTGTTTGCTGAAACGTGTCGCATAAAGCCACAGGGCAGTTTGCAGAGCTGAAAACAAATACAACTTTCGTTCTCTTATTAAAGTAAAAAAAAACAACCTTAAAGTTTAAAATATTTAAACTTAAAGGTCGTTGACCCCGGATTTGACCCCAGTTTATTTGCTATTTGTCACTTTTAGCTGCACAGTGAGACGGTTTAGGATGAGCTGGAGACAAATTCAGGAAGCGTAATAAATAATAAATGGTGAAAAACTGAAAATCTTTCTCTGTCGGTTCTGATGCTTTTTTCTGACCTGAACTGGATCAGAAACTTCAGTTTTGCTTTCCTGGTGAATGTTCTGGAAAACTTTCATTGAGGAATATTTCACTGCCCTGATGTTTAAACATATGAGGAAGCAGGCGTAATGGCTTCGGCCCCGCGGGGCGCACAGCGCCTCCGTTCTGCTGGTGAACCATCTGACCGGATGTGGGCGGAGTCTCCTGGGCGCCGTCCCCCGGTGAGCGGCGGCGGCTCTGATCCATCCTGAACAGCGGCTTTTGTTTCTGCCTCCAGGGGCGCAGAGAGACGCGGCGCAGTCGATGTAAGGCTGATGAAAGACGGAGACACTGCAGGGAGAAAGAAGGCAAACCCAAAGTTACTGCAAAATATTTAGATCTGGATCATTTTCAAACAAAAGAAGATTGACTCACACTGGGAAATATTTCATTGGTATAATTATAACTCAGTGAACTTTCTGATCCAGCAGCCCAACCCATCATACCTCCACCACCGTGCTTCACAGGTCCAACAGTCTGATTTCTGTCCCAGATTTTTGGTCAGAGACAATAAAGTATCTTTTCCACATGTTTAAATACGAACCCAAGATTAGATTCGTGAATCCTCCGTTTCACAAACTGCGTTTCAGTCTCAAATGTGCACAAACCTTTAATTTTGCAATTGCAGTTTTTAATCAAACAAGAAACAAACTTAAAATCACACAAGCAGATTTATTTTCGTAATTTCACTTTGCACGGTTATGGTCAATGAAACGCAGTTTGGTTTTCCTGAGAATTCGATAAAAACAGAATGAGTCCAAATGTTTTTCTTCAGTGGAGACGGCATCAGCATCATGAGGGGAAACTTTTCTGTAGCAGGAAGAGGAAACTGGTCAGAGTTGACCAGAAGACGGACGTTCTGGTTTGTCACATAAGAAAAACGCAGAAGTTTCAGGTCGGGCTGTGAAAACGTTTGGAAGCCACAGCAGATAAAAAGTTCCAGATGTTGAGACTGATGTGGTCTATAAAAAACTGCTTTGGGGAATCGTTCATTTTGATTTGGTTCTGATTCCTGAAGGAATTTATCGGACCGGTTCTGAAAGAGCTCCAGCTAAACAAGGACAGAGCCACTTTTACAGCCTTTTCTATTTTTCCCATTGAAGATTCAGAATGTTGTTCTCCTTCCTGACGGTTAACTGGACTGATCTGCGATAAATCCAGATGAAAAATGGCCGCTGTGGTTTCTCTGTCCTGCAGCTATTAAAGGTGCGCACCGTTAAAAATGAGAAGCTCCTTTTACCGTATTTCTGCCGCCCCATTAGAAAATGATTTCCCACTCCCATTCCTCCCATTAAGGGGCCGAATCGTGTGACTCAGCCGCTGAGTGGACTTTTCATCGACGCTCCTCCGGCGGCGGCGCGGTTCAGGACTATTTTCAGCAGCGGATTGATCCGCTGCTCGGTGTTTGTTTGTTTCGGCCTTTAATGGCTCCTGAACAACAGAAGGAATCCTGTAGTGGAGATGAAACGGATCAGAACCGGGCCGAGCCGCCACAGTTTGACACCGATCAGAACCAGAACCTCTTGTTTTCACCTGCAGGCGTCCACTGTGACAGCGTGTGCTCTGAGGGCCTCTGGGGGCCGAACTGCTCCTCCAGCTGCTCCTGTGAGAACGGAGGCTCCTGCGCGCCGGAGGACGGCAGCTGCGTGTGCGCCGCAGGATACCGCGGCACCAACTGCAGGAGAAGTAAACGCAGCATCTGAACGCCGAAAACATGCTGCAGCTTTTATTGATTCTGTTTTATTTTATTTACCTGCATTTTTATTATTTATTTTCCCTTATTTTTATTTATTTTATTGTTAGTCTTTTATTTTTTTTACTTATTTTATATTCAGATTTTTATTTTTAAATGTATTTCTTGTATTTTATTTTTAGTTTCTTATGTTATTTTCAAATCCATATTTATTTTTTGTTTATTCATAATATATTTATTTTATTTTTAAATTTTTACCTTTTATTTTTCATCTCATTTTTATTTATTTGACGTTTTATTTCTTTTTGAAGCTTTTAATTTATTTTTGTTAATGAATATGAATTTTCTTTAAGATGTTTGTATCTAAATCCTACATTTCAGCAAAATCTGTCTTAGAATTGAGCAGGCAGAAAATTTAAATCAGAAATTTCTATTCTGTTAGCTTCCTGTTAGCTTCCTGTCTGGTCCAGGTGTTCTGCTCCTTCCTGTTAGCTTCCTGCCTGGTCCAGGTGTTCTGCTCCTTCCTGTTAGCTTCCTGTTAGCTTCCTGTCTGGTCCAGGTGTTCTGCTCCTTCCTGTTAGCTTCCTGTCTGGTCCAGGTGTTCTGCTCCTTCCTGTTAGCTTCCTGTCTGGTCCAGGTGTTCTGCTCCTTCCTGTTAGCTTCCTGTTA